TGTAGCTTCCATATGGTTGGTTGTTGAGACTATGGTCCTGTTCCGGGTATCCTAAGTTTTGGTCGTGCACTATACTGCAGATCCTAAAGAGCACCATGATTCTTCCTATGTGGAAGTTACCAAAAACATGGGACCTCTTTAGGGCGGTTTTTTCAAGGATGGTAGCATGTCCAGGTTGGTACATAATGATAGTGGTATTGCGGGGTATATCAGGGAGACCGATATTTCTCTGCAATATCTTACAAAGTTTCGAAAGGGTATCTTGTGGACCATTGATTGCAAGGTCCTGACGTCAAGAAAGCAGAGGCAACTCGGTCTGAATTCTTTGGGCATAGCTTCTTTGGCACTTCGTATCATGATTAAAGGCACTTGCCTTAATTGAGTTTTTGGGTTGAGGACTTGGGGTTGAGGGTCTTCAGCTAATGCCTTGTCCCTCACGACCAAACTCCCTCCCTTCCCCTACCGAAAGATATTCCCCCATATGGTACCGCCATATAGTAGGAAGATTTTTCTGGGGGGTTAATCCCTGTATTGTAACCGCACATCGTCCCTGTAATCCCTGTAGTTTGCATTTTCTTTTCCATTATCCCCATAACCCCAATACAACCCTAATATTACCATGGTTAGGGGTTTAGAGGGGGCTGGTTTTTTTTTGTGATTTGTGATGGCCCGCGTGCGGTGCCTCTCCAGGCCGGAGCTTCACCGGAGCATCCGCAGTCTGAAAGTCGACCCCTAGACATCCAAGGATACAAATGGGGTTATATAGGGATACTGGAAAAGAAAATGGAAACTACTTCCCTAGTTTCCATTTCAATTTGATTTTCTATTTGGGTGGTTCCCAGAATTAGCTGTACCTTCTGGGGGGGTCCCTAGAAAAAGGACAAAAGTATATTGGGGTCTATGTTGGGCTCCCCTATTAAGGGAAACTACCAAATAGGTTTAGGATTTAGGGGTCAGGGTTCAGGGTGTAATGTTTAGGGCTTAGGGATCCACATGTGCAAATAATACCAAGAATGGAGAATCAAGTGTAAAAGAAATGGATAATGAAATGGAAGCTGGGATATATCACTGGGCGTATAAGGTTCCAAGTATACAAACAATGCCTAAATTGGGCCCTGAGGTCTGTGAATATTACCTACATTGAGCTGTTTGGATCCCTACAGTACCTTTTTGATGCTCAACATCCAGAAGCCTTTTTCTCAAGAACTTTAAATATGCATCCTCAAGGTTTGTACCCGCGGAGCTTGGCTTTCAAACCGCCTACAGAAGGGCCATTCTATGGTTTAGTGATACGAACCCGAAGGTGCAAACCTGAATGGATACAACAGAAGATTCGCTGATTGGGGAGGGGTACCTATGACAACGACACCTTTTTTCCTTTTTTCCGAGGACGCGGCCTACTTTTCAGAAATATACTGGTGGGCCCGTTTCCTAGGAAGCCGCGGTGTCAGTGAAGACAGCAACGACGCACATAGCGCTAAACTCCCAATTGCAAGGAAGTTTGCAGCCAAACGTTTTTATGGACAGAACTAACCCTAAACCCTGAACCCTCAATTTGAAAACGAGCTCCAAGCAGAAACGTCAGCCTTGCCCGTCTCTGGGCTTCCAGTTCCAGTTTGGGTATCATGCAGCCCACCATTGCATTCAACCTCGTTTGTTTGGGTCCATAAGAGCCATAGTCTAAACTCCTCAAAGTGGGATATATAGGGGATTATATAGGGAACTACTATAGGGGATATTAAGGGGGATACGACTACAGCTCATACGGTCGAGCGGTTAATCTTAAAAAGTCCTTCATTCCGAAGCTTTGTCACTTGTCATACAACTGGGTCCTGACTTCGCCTCAAGTCCTTCTCCCATACACCTCTCGGCATCGAACAGCTTTTTATGGACGTCTTCCTGCATGACAATGTATATACCATGTTAATACTCACATTTCGGAAGCCCGGTAGATCCCGGCAGTATTCTATACCTCGTGTCATGCTTGACCTGGTTTCGTTCATCAACAATACCGCAACTCAACGCTTCAGAAAAAAGAATGTTATATAAGGGCTTCCGCAAGCCAAGATATGCTGTCGTGCCGCAGCCTTTGAACACGTTCCATGCAGCCCTTATGCAAAAAAGTTACCTGCGGTGTTCAAAAGTCTGGTACGATAAAACAAAACATCTACTTGCGGCGCTCCGAAACAACCTGTCTGTAGCGTCAAAGCGATTGTATCTGTGAGGTTCTGGAGTTCGTGTTTTTTCCGCAAAAATCTCAACAAATCTATCTGCGCGGTCGCCGCCGTAAACCCCACATGCAAAGCGCGAAACCCAAAACCCTCCACCTTTAACCTCAAAACGCCCCGTTCACGAAGCCTGCTGCCAAGGCCAGCCCAGCTCAACGCGACCCTGCTTCAAGACAGGCCAGATTAGGGAGTCTAGGTTTGTGGGGTATTGGGATAAGGCTTCCGGGTCTTGAGTTCAGGCTTTATGGTATATCGGAAGTTCCCAAAACAGGGGACCCCAAGAATAATCCCCAAATACTGCAGTCCTTATTATAGGGACCGCCGGAATGGTACCCATAATTATGGGAAACCCCCAGATAAGGTTCAGGGTGCATATGGTTTGGGGTAGAGTCTATGCATGGCTAGTCGACACAGCGTCCGGCATCACGCATGTAAGCACATAGCCAGGGGCAACAAGTTGGTATCTACCGTACTTCACGGTATTTCCTTGGCCCACCTGTTGAAGCAGCAGATAGATGATTTCAATGTGTCTTCATTGGTTGCTGTGGGGCAACTGCGCAATCAAGTTGGCTCCTTTTTGTGTTTGTCAGTGGCAAACTAGTAACTAGTGGAGACAGGACCAGCCGCGCGGATGCATTCATTTCTGCTGTCCTGCTGGATATGAACTGGAGATGCATATCATCGCAACAACATACTTGCATGTAGTACCTGGTAGTATAAACTAGTACATCGTCGTAGTATTTAATAGAATCGGCAACAGCATCAGCACTTGCTGCGCTGTTGTCGCAGCAGTAAGAGGCTTTACTGGGCATCGTCCTAGTGCCAGGGAACAGTTCATATGAGCTATGGTCTAAACTCCTGAAAAGGGGTTTGCTAGGGCATTATAAGGGAGTATTACAGGGGTTATTAAGGAGGATACTAGGAGTTTAGACTATAGCTCATATCAGGATGGGATCACCCCATAGCTATCCTGTCGCAGCCAGGTATGTTGCCCTACTCCTACCTGGGTCTCAAAAGTAGGTCAAACACGGACCACAAACCGCAAAAAGCGCCAAAAGGCTAGTTCTCCATTACCCTACATATTTTGTGGATATTCCAATCTGTATGTGTACATCTCTATACTTATTCACGTATAGATGCACTTATCCCCATATAACCCCATATACCTGCAACACATAATTTTGCGGCTCAGTTAACCGCAAACCCTCAACCCTAAACCTCAACCCTAAACCCGCAAACCCATGTCTTAACCGGTACGCTCATAGTCCGAAGCCTTGCATTGGGATCGGCTTTGTGCAGTGTTTAGGGTTTAGGGTTACCCAAGAATTGGGTCTAGGGTTTAGGGTTTAACTTGGGCATTTGCAGTTATGGTAATAAAAGCTCTAAATTGCAGAGTTGGGGTAAGTATCTGATGTTTGAATGCGTGGACGCCTCACAGCATGATCAGGGGCTGAATTTTGGTTTAGGGCTTAGAGTTCAGGGCAGTGTTACATCAGCGGGAGCCCTAAACCCTTTTAGCTTCATGTTTCATGTCCGGGAAGACCGCGGCCCAACAGAGAAGGCATGTTTGTTCGTTGCCAAGAGAGAAAAGCTCTGACATATCACAGGAAACTGTTTGAACTATACTCTAAACTCCTTAAGGGGGTTATGTAGGGGCTTACACAGGGAAACATTATAGGGTATGTTAAGGGAGATACTGGGAGTTTAGACTATAGCTTATTTAGTGCATTTCTCGAAGTAATCCCGGTGTACATCCAGCAAAGCTTCCAAAATTCTCCTTGTACCCTAAACCCTAAACCTACAAGGTTCCTGAGAATAATTTGTAATTTCTGTTACCTAGAATCCTAGTATTTAGCTGAAATTCTAATTTCTACTGGGGTTCCAAATCCCTTCGAGATTAGGGCCTGTGTTTTTTTTCGGAGATCGGGGGGTTTTTGGGAGCAAAGACGACAAGGTCTGAGCCGCCCGCTGTGATAGTGGGAGGCGAGGGCAGGCGACGACAGCGCTTAAGGAGGCTGTTTAGGGTTTAGGGTTTAGGGTTTAGGGTTTACGTTTGCGGCTTAGGCCCGAAAGATGTTTATTTTCAGGCCTCCAATCAAGCTGATGTTTGTCCCATCCCTCGTTTGGCTTACTGGTGGTTAATCTCCTCCCCTTCATGCTAAACACAGCCTTCCCACCCCCTAACATTAAACATGGTACCAGCATGTACGGACTGTTCCAAAGATTGTTTACAAATGGGGGTGGGGGCATGTGGAATGTCAGTGAAGAAAAGCAGAACAACTTGGAACTTAGTATCTCAGTGAGGTCTACATGGGGACAACTCTAGGGGCTACGATAGGAACTGGATTTGTTTATGTTGAGCATACTAACCCCTGACCCTTGAACCCTGTAACCTCTAAACACGAAGCCCGAAACCCAAGCCCCAACTCCTAAACCTAATTCCTCAAAATTCGAAGTGCCAAGCCCTAGCCCCAAAACCCTTCACCCTAAACCGAAAACCATGAGAAACCCCAAAAACCTATACCTTGAATTCTACACGAGAGCCCCACCTAGACCTCAAGCCATAAATCCTAAATCCGAAGCCTAAGCCCTAGATCCTAAACCCTAAACGAACCCCAAACCCCCAGTATTACGCTAAGCTGCTCTGAGACAAAAAACAAAAAAAAACGATAGTAGTTTCCATTTTCTTTTCCATTATCCTTATGTTACCCCAAGATTACCAAACCCCCTGAGCCCCCCTAAACCCCCAGGATTACCTTAAGCTGCTCTGAGTTGGGGCCTCTATGCTCTCATGCTGGGTGTCGTGATCATTGGATCGTTGGGGGCTCAGGATTTCGATGTGTCACAGGCCCTGGGCTTCCTTCACATTAAAGCGGTTTAGGGTTTAGGGTTTAGGGTTCCTTCGGCTTGAAGCACAAAGGAGTTGCCGCTCAGTGTTTAGGGTCGTTAGAGTTTAGGGTTTAAGGTTGTTGGTTTTTAGGGTTTAGTGCTCTTATTTTGTGGGGTTTAGGGTTTAAGGCTGCTAGTTTTTAGAGTTTAGGGTTTATGGTTGTTAGTGTTTAGGGTCTCGGATCTAGGCTGATTGGTGTTTAGAGTTCAAGGTCTCAGGGCTACTACTTAAGCTTCAAGATCTGGTGAGATTCTGTTGCGGTTCCTCGAGCTGCCTGGGCTATAACAAAGAAAAAATCATGATCATGTAGTCCGATGGGTCGGAAACCGTGACCAGTGGCCTCTCTAAATTCAAGGGCTTGGGGTTTAGGGTAAACCCAGAACCCTAAACCCTAAACCCTAGACCCGAAACTGAAAGTTTCCTGAGAGCTCTTGAGTTTTTTTTTTGCTGTTGGCCTTGAGGTTCACCACCATCTACATCACCAATGGCCGGGTAGCCTCCTCGGAGCATTGTTAGCTGTCACGGTTTCTAACCATAAAAAACATTTGTAAGTATCAATTCTGGTGATGCTTGTTATTTTCAACGTTTATCAGTGCTGTTGTTGCCAGGTGAGGGCCGATGTAGGGGGTGACGATGGCGACGATGGAGACGATGGAGGGTATGGCGATGCCGCCGACGGTGACGCTACAGATGTAACCGAGTAGAGATTCAGGGGTGTGACAATTTGCCAACGAGTCGCATGTTGCCGGACCCCTGACCTGTTAGGATACCCCAGGTCTCAGACTTATTCCCAGGACGCTGCGCAAAGTCAGTAGCTCTCCGTACATTATGCCGTGCAGTGGGACGCTGCTATGGCTGAGCAATGGAGACTTGATAAGCTGGAAGGCTGTCTCAAGAATATCATGTGTACCTCCTCAGGAAAACAAGCTGTTTGGGTTTAGGATGTAGCATATACGGTCTACTCAAACACCGCCATGTTGGAAAAACCCGCGCCGAGAGGCTTCACAGCCTTTCAGGTGTGATTTTCCTTGCAGCACGGACCGTGCAGACATGCAATGGATTAATGCCTTACTCGTCAAACGTCGAATGCCGTGAGCCAAAAGGTATGGGAGTCTCTGGGGCATTGGAAAGCATTTAGTGGGAAGCATTTTGTCCCAAGGTTTCAGACATTCTCGTAGGGATTCCAAAAGCCTCCAGGTAAATGCTTCCCCCCTAAACCCTAGAATTTTAAACCCTGCACGCTAAACCCGAAGCCCTAAACCCTAAGTCTTAAACCCAAACCCCTAAAACCATATCAAAACCTAAATCCTAAACCCCTCCCAGTAAATGCTTTGTGGAACGTCTGGCCTAGTAGCGCAGGGTTAGGGTTTAGGGGTTCAGGATTTAGGGGTTTAGGGTTTACTTAGGGGTGTAGGGTTCAGAGTTTAGGGGCGTAGGGTTTTGGGTTTAAGGGTCACACAACCGTTTTCTTGTTGACCAATGTTGAAGAGCATCATGTAAACACATTTCTCAAGCATGCACAGGCATCCGCTGAGAGGGAATAGCTCGGTTTAGTCAAAGTATTTGGTTTGGGTACGGCGTGGAATTTTTTTTCCCTCGCAACCACTTTATACTACAAAATAGGTACTATCCAACTCTTACTGCCTGGGGGCAGTATCCACTACTTAGTCTACAGGGGGAAGGAACAGCATATTGCAATGCTATCTCTGCAGTAGGGTGAGCTGTTCAAACAGGGTTGAGGGTTTGGGTTTTGGGGTTTAGGGTTTCCTGAGCCCCAAACTCACAGGAGCTTGGACCCCAAACCTTGAACCTTAAGCCGCTTGGATGTTGATTTTTCCGGACCTGTTAATGAAAAGAAAGAGGGCTTCTGGAGCTTCAGGCCGAGGGCATCTAGGAGGTATGGAAGCAACACATGATGTGGCTTGTGTCTGGTAGGGCAGAGCAGGAATGGAGCCGTATAGTAGTCCCAGTATGTTCTGTAACCCAAAAACTTACATTACCGGCGAGCCAGCATTAATCCCATGCCCGCCGCGATTCGAATCTGCCAATTTTTTGTGTTGCCCACTAAGAATGGCCAACCCAAGCCCTGGTCATGGACCTTTTTAGCCCTCAACCTCAGCCCAAAAACCCTAAGCCCTGAACCCTAAACCTCAAATCCTAAGCCCTAAACCCTACATTGATTAGCATGAAGTCTGCTGCTGTGATCGTTGCTGACGCTTAGCACTGCACGGTAGTGTAGAGTAAGCACTTCTATCATGAGTTCCCCTGATTAAAGGAGAGCAGGGGCTCCTAGGCCAACCCATGATTAACTAATCCAATTATTATTGTTAGTATTACTATTATTATTAAAGATTGGGAATGAGCTGCTCAAACCTGCCAAGCTCTCGACAATAGCTCTCATTCTTCTTGCAGCCATGGCCAACGCAAAGCAGAAGGTGAACATGAAGGTGGGAAGCCCAGTCACATCCTCCAGCTGAAAATTCAAGCTCGCAAAGCCTTGCTGTCTGGTTGTGAAGCAGGTCAAGATCATCAAAGCCTCTGCGCTAGCGCCTTGACCTCGGCCCTGTTTTTTTCCCATACGCATTACAGCCTGTGCCCTGGATCTTGCAGGGTTGCACAGTCCAACATTCGCCGCGCAGAGGTGCCAAGCTTAGACATGTCATCATACATCTTCCCTAAAATTGACAATGCAGAGCGCAGGGTGTGTTGGTGGCAAAGCCCTCTCAAAGGAATTCCTCATGCGCATGGTGTTCCACTCCCTGGTCACCATGACGCAGCAGGGCCTTGTCCGACGCCGCACCAGAATGCTGTCTGGGCCTTGGTATCTCTTTGCAATTCCTTCGGCTACAGCGCACCTGTGGTGTGGCGAACATGGCAGGATGATGACGCAGATGGCGGCGCAAAAGGTATGAAATTTATTCACCGCTGTTTGCAAGTTGTGGAACATTTCAGTTTTTGTTGGCAGGCAAGCCTCCTGCGGACGGCATTCCGCGGGTGGGTGGAGCATGTCCGCGGCATGAAGGTTCGCTTCGGTTCTTGCAGTTGGAGCTTAGGGCTCAGGGTTTAGGATTGAGGGGTTTAGACGTTCCTGCTGACTGCGGGGTGCATGCTTCCTGTTGATGGTGTGCGCGAGTTATGCTCTCTCTAACTTATCGGTGTAGTTTTCCTCCATCCGTCTAGAGATCTCTCTGTCAATCTGCATCTCTTTCTGCTGTTGCTCTTTCGCTCACTCATTCACTCACTCTCCCTCTCCCTCCCTTCCTCGCTCTCTCACTCACTCCCTCCCTTGAACTCTCACTCACTCACTCACTGACTCACTCACTCATCCTTTCTTCCTCTTTCGCTTTCTCTCCGTGCCGTGAAGATGTTTGGCAAGGCCGAGCTGGAGGAGATCACTGGATGGTTCATCGAGCACAGGAACTGCCAGGATTACCGCGTCTGACTCAGGGCGCGGCTTTGTTGCTCCAATGCTTGCATTGGAGCGGATAAAGACGGAGCCGGGCTGAGGTGTGGGCTTGTTGAAGCCTTTGCTTCGCAAGCACCGTCGCGCTGCCGATTGGCGGGCGTTCCTTCGTATGGCTGTGCGGCTGCTTTGGGTGCGTCTTTTCCTCCCTGCCTTTGCCTGGGGCATGTGCGAAATTCATACTGGTGCCCAGGCCATCCGCGAGTCGAAGCTGCTGGCCAGCATGGCCTGAAATGCAGCCAGCAGCAAAGTATCAAGAGGCGGAAAAAGGAAGCCTTTGTCTTTGCCATCGTTCTTGCATCTGCAGCTGCTGAGTGCGATGCAAAACTGCCTCTTGAGCCAGGCCCTCCTCTGGATGGCTGCCAAGAGGCGACAAAAATCCGAGTGCAATCCGGGAAGCTGTGATCTCGTTCACGTTTTTCCTGCTTTGGCTTTAAGGTTTAAGGGTTTAGGTGGTAGGATTTGGGCTTGAGTTTCGCAGTTTACAGACTGGATGGTTTCTCATTATAGGGCTACACGAGGGATCTCAATGACATACAAGGTTGAATTACAATTATGGGGTCCCAGTCAAGGAGTATCTAAACCGCGCCTTGTCTTTGTAAGATTTTGTGAGCAGCTAATTGGTTGAGGGTTTGTGGATGTTTATGGTATCTTCGATTTCAGAAGCCTGGCATTTCCTGACGCGCCTTGATACTCGGCCTAGCACGGATGTCATCTTGTCTCCATACAGCATTGCATGGTGCTGCCTATGCCTGGCCACTCCACATGTTACCCTCACCCTGGCTTTGATAAGTCAAATCCAACTCAGTACCCTCACTCAGTGATGTCAAGTGATCCCAGAAGTTCGTCCCGGTTATGTTGGGTTAAACATGTTCACATTTCAGTTTTTCGTGGATGTCCGAAAAATGAGGCAGCTGATTCTTCAAGGCTCGAAGGGAGAAACCAGTGTAGACGTGCAAGTGACAAAAGGATCTACATAGGGGTGTGGGGCTACCGTTTTTGGGGTTGTAGGGGTTTAGGGTTTTGGAGTTCAAATGGTTTTGGGTTTGGAGGCTCTTGGGGATTTTCGAGCAACTGGGGGCCTCGGGTACGACGCAACAATAAGAAAGGTACATCTCCTCAAGGAGTGATGCAACTTTATTTCAGACGAGTATCCGCTATGCCGCGGCAGCAATGCTAGCACGGAGGGGTGATTTGAAAGCCCATGGCGGTATCTCGATTTAGACCCTATGCCCTACACATTTCCTGAACCCAATCCTTAGGTCCTAGTCCCCTATCCACCCTCAGCCCGCACCTCTTATCCAGAAAATAACTCAAAATCCCAAACCTTCGAAGTACTGGTCATGGCATCTGGCTATGAGCACTTCTTGTCTTATGACTGGTCCGATGAACGCTGGCGCACGTATTTGCACCTCGCTGAGCGTTTGCTAGGGCCTTCGGGTTTAGTCTTCAGGCTTTTGGGGGTTTGTGGTTTATGGTTAAAAGTTTTGGTTGCACAAAGGCTTTGAGTTTTTTGGTTTTTCGCTTCAGGTGTTTCTGGGTCCAGGCGCTTAGGTTGCGGAGGGTTTTCCATTGGTTTCCAAGGTTATCGGGTATTCCCCCTAAACCCTAAAGCCTAAACTTCCGACCCCAAACCCCAAACCCCAAACCTTAAATCCCCCTAAACCCTGAACCCTGAGCCTTAAACTCTAAACCCAAAACCCAACAACCCTAAACCCTAAACCCTAAACCCCTAAACCCTAAACCCTAAACCCTAAACCGTCAAGCAAGGAGGAGTACATCATTTTCCTTAGACGTTCATGCGAGGCATAGTCTAAACTCCTTACGAGGGGTATACAGGGGAATGTTTAGGGTTTAAGGTTTTAGGGTTTAGGGTTGTTGGGTTTTGGGTTTAGGGTTTAGGTTTTTGGGGTTTTCTAGCGTTCGGGGTTGGGGTTTAGGGTTTATACTCCTTCAAGGGGGTTCTATAGGGGATTATGTAGGAGTTTAGCCCATGGTCCATGCATTGTAGGAATCGGCGTTTTCCTGTGTTGCGCAACCAGAGGCTTTTAGGGTTTAGGGCTGCAAGGGTCTAGAGTTTGAGATGCAGGGTTTACTATGATGCTCAGAACTCTGATGTCTAGTCTGCGGCCATGTCCAAGCCCTCTTGCTCTAACATCCATGGGCGTTAAGCCCAGGACCCAAAGCCTCAAGTCTTCCACCCAAAGCGTGAGGACAAAACGACGAACCTTAGACGCTAAA